CTTCCCATTTCTTCCACAACCGCTTTAACTCCTCCCCCTCCTTCCCCTTCCTTCTCACAACCGCCGCCTTTAGCTCCTCCCCACAACCGGCTTCCTCTTTCCCTCCCCGTTTCCCCCCACTACCACCTTCCCCTTCCCCTCCCCCCTTCTCCCCACAACCGCCGCCTTTAGCTCCTCCCCACAACCGCCCTCCCCTTCCTTCTTCCCCTTTCCCTCCCCCTTCCCCTTCCCCTTTCTCCCCACAACCGCTGCCTTTAGCTCCTCCTCCTCCTCCACCTCCATTTCGAGCGGCGTTCACTGACCTCGCAGTCGGGTCAGTATATAAGCGCCTTCTGCACCCTTTAGCCTCTCACTTGGGATTCAAAACCAAACCGAAACTATGTGAGTAAAACCGTTATTGTTGTCGTAGTGAGAATTGACGCAGTGTTCTTGCCATTGTTTTGTTTTTGTTTTTTGTTTTTGTTCCTTTGCGTATCGCCTTATATGGAATTTAAGAGGTTTTAAAGTGTGCGTTCGGATAGAGAGAGAAAAAAAAAGTGAAGAGAAGAAAAAGTGGTGATCGATTACTGTGTGGGTAACCTTCGTTCGTGAGAGAGAGAGAGGGAGGGAGGGAGAGGAGAGAGAGAGAGAGAGAGAGAGAGAGAGAGAGGAGAGAGAGAGAGAGAGAGAGAGAGAGAGAGAGAGAGAGAGAGAGAGAGAGAGAGAGAGAGAGAGAGAGAGAGAGAGAGAAGAGAGAGAGAAGAGAGAGAGAGAGAGAAGAGGAGAGACAGACCGATAGAAAGAGACAGAGAAAAGAAGAGAGAGAGCGATAAACAGAGACAGAGAAGAGGAGAGAGAGACAACGATAGAAAGAGACCAAGCGAATAAGAGAAGAAAAGAAAACAAAAAGAAAGAAAGACAGACAGCAACAAAGACAGAGACAGACAAACAGACAGAGAAACACACAGACACAGAGACACAGAGAAAGAGAGAGTTGTACTAGAAGTCGGAGAGAGTGAAGCGTCTTCTAGCACGAGTAACGGTTTGCAGAGAAAGGTAGATAGAAAGACAGAGAGGGAGACAGATAGACAGAAAGACGGGCTGGTAGATGGATGGATGACTGGATGGATAGATAATTGGATGACTGGATGATCAGATAAAGAAATGGGCAGATGGATGGATGAATTAATGCACTGACGAGTGGATGGATGGATAGATAGAGAGACGGACAGGTAGATAGACGGGCATACAGATGGATGGGTTGATGGATGGATGGATAGATAGATAGACAGAGAGACGGATAGATAGATAGATGGACAGACAGATGGGTGGGTGTATGATTCGATAGATGGATAGAGGCAGAGAGACGGACATATAGATGGATGGAGGGGTGGATGGATTAATGGATGATTTAGTGCATTGATGGATGAATGGATGGATGACTATATAGATGGATTATTGGATGGGTGGATGGACGCATAGATAGATGTAAGATAGATCGATAGATAGATAAATAAATGGACAAACAGATAGACGAAGGGAGGGAGACAGACAGACAGGCAATTTGAAAGAGAGAGTTGGTGTTTGCCTTGACCTTTTCCACCGGCCACCTGACCCAACCTAACCGGCTCTGGCTGACCTGAATGGCGGGATTGGGTAGGTTCTTTTTTTTTGGGGGGGGGGGGGGAGGGAAGGACGGAGGGAAGGAAGGTGGAAGGGAGGGTGGGGGATGAGAGAGAGGGATGGTGAGAGGGTGGGAGGGTGGGTGAGAGGGAGATACGAAGGGAGAGAGGGGAGAGGGATGGTGGGGAGGAGAGGGAGAGGGAGGGAGGTGAGAGAGGGTGGGAGGGTGGGTGAGAGGGAGATACGAAGGGAAAGAGGGAGAGAGGGATGGTGGGGAGGAGAGGGAGAGGGAGGGAAGGTGGAAGGGAGGGTGGGGGGATGAGAGAGAGGGATGGTGAGAGGGTGGGTGGGTGGGTGAGAGGGAGATACGAAGGGAGAGAGGGGGAGAGGGAGGGAGGGATGACGGGAAGGAGAAGGAGAGGGAGGGAGGTAAGAAGGGAAAGAGAGAGGAGGGAGGGTAGGATAAGGGAATGGAGGGAAAGAGTGTGGAATGGACAGAGAAGATGGAAGGAAGGGCAGAAGGAGGGACGAATGAGAAATGAGAGAGTGAGTGAATGAGAGAGAGAAAGAGAGAGATAGAGAGAAAGAGAGAAAGAGAGAAAGAGAGAAAGAGAGAAAAGAGAGAAGAGAGAGAGAGAAGAGAGAAGAGAGAGAGAGAGAGAGAGAGAGAGAGAGAGAGAGGAGAGAGAGAGAGAGAGAGAGAGAGAGAGAGAGAGAGAGAGAGAGAGAGAGAGAGAGAGGAATAGAAGGGAGTGAGGGGGAGGGTAGGAAGGGAGGGAGACAGGTGCTGTTAGAAGAAGAACCACGAGCCAAGGGGCACCAGGGACATAGAGCCAGTCCGAGGGTCCCATAATTCATCACGAGGGCCCCCGGTGCCTCTGAATGAATAAAAAATTAG